AGCTATAATCGGGGCCATGCAATAGTGGATGACAGCAGCACATGAAAAGCAGCTTGAACTTCCATTGGAAGGTACTCTTCAAGCACTCTGGCAGCACATCATCTCTGGTCATGGATGAAGACTTCAACATGAGTTGGTTATAGAGGGTTGGTGACACAAGCAATCAGGCCCCACATGGGATGAAAGTGCAGGAACAAACTAAAATAAAGATTGCCATTTAATATCAACTTACTGCATCAGTAACAGTTAGGTAAAGCTAGATTTTCATCAACTCAATTAACTAATTTACTAAAAAGGAATAAAGAGATAACATCTTTTCAACTGTAACCTGAATGAGATGCAATAGGTATCAACTATAGTAACTAACATTTACCTCTCCACTCCTACCTCTCCCAGTTCATATTAGACATCTAAGTGCCACTGCAGAATAAATTCTCCTTTTTGCAATTATCCTCAGGCAGTGCCAGTAATGTAGGCAAAGTTGCATCTCAATATTGGTGCTTCAATGCATCTGGCACATGTTACTGAACAGCTAAGTCTCTTTGGTTGCCGATTCAGAATGTTTCGGCATTCATAAAGTAGTAGTGATGTTACTGAACTAATAACTCAAAGAATGGGAGTTCAAATCTACTGTGGCATTTTGAAGTGTGGAATTCAGTTTTTAAAAATCTGCCTTCAGTATAAGTAGCCATGAAGCTGATCAAGTGATGTAAAAACTCAAATGTTCACAAATGTTCCTTTAGGATAGAAATGTTCCTTCATTAGTTAGGTTGGTGCTATAGGTGATTCCAGTCCTACAGCATTGTGACTGACTTTTAATTGTCCCCTGAAATGACCGAGCAAACCGATCAGTTGTATGTAAAAAGACCAATAGTGAAGCACTTCGTTTGCAACAAGCACGTCCAAGCACGAATACTGGTTTCAGAAGCCGAGGTCCATGTCTGTGTTCTCCTCATTGCATATATAGATGCACATAGGAAATTTAGGGTTTCACAGATGCTTAATGTTCTGATATTGTTATCCAACACAAAGTATTGCCCTAAAATAAAATCAAGATACTGTACATCTGAAATAAAAAGTTATGGAAAATACTCTTCCTTTCAGGTATGCTGCATATGTATAAACATTTATGTAATGTTCCTCACAAATAATATTCGAGTGTCCAATTTGAAAACATTGGGAGAGAGAGTGGAAGACAGACTCTAAAAGTGAGCTTTTAGAAGTCGAGTAGCAAGTAGCAAGACAAAACACCTCAGTCTAGTCAGAAAACCCGAGCCTCTGTTCACTACTTATTTTAAATTTGCCACCTGGTCCTCATGCTCACCATTCTTCCTTTGGACTCCTACTTAGTTCCAATAAAGCTCCAATGTCAACTCAAAGAACATCATCTCATCTTTTGATTAAGCACCCCACAACCTTTTAAACTTAAAAATGAGTTCAGCATTTCAGACTGCAACTTTTGTCTCCACTGTATTTCCTTTGCTGGTTTATGTTTCAATTCATTTTCTTGTTTTTGCTTTCAAATGGCAGCTATTTATCATTTTGCCATTCACTGCCTCCTCTAAACCTATCTTTGTTTCTTTACTTGCCCCATTACCACTCCCTTGACCCTGCATCACAAACCCTTTTGCCAGTTAATCCCTCCTGTCTTCCACTGATATAAACTGTCCCCTTTACTACCCAGCAACACCAAACCTGGTGAAATTTCTAATTTTTCCCAGTTTTGATGAAAGATCAGTGATCTGGAACATCAACTGTTTCACTTTGCAGAGATGTTGCCTAACGTGAATATTTCTAGCATTTTTGGCTTAATTTCAGATTTTCAGCACTTGCAGCATTTTATTTTTGCAAGACAAAGGTGATTTTGGGAGGACATCCCACAAGGATGTCAAGGAGTCAACAAAACGGCTCTGATGAAAAGAGGAAAAAATCCATCTAGAATCAAAACTGGAATCTACTTGCAGATAAATGTTGCTAGCAACTGAGAAATGTCTCAGACCAAGGCAAAGACCTTTTATTATTCATTAAGACATATTGGAGCACAGTTTGGCAAAGTTGGGGCAGATGAATATGGCGAATGGGAAACAAGTTGTTGAAATGTCAGATTAACTGTACTCTGACTACAGCACAGAAGGACCCATTAGCGACAAATGTTTCAACCCTTGCTTATGAACCACAACAACCTCCACCTACCTCAATTTCTCTTTAGAGCATAAACTCATGCTCCTTCCTCCCTCGTGTTTTTTTTAAGCTCATTAGCTTTAGATATGAAGGGTGGGATCAACAAATGCAACATTGGAAGTCAACCTTCAAGGTAGACAGCTTAATTGAGGGACAGGGCTGAATCTATAATGGCTGTACTCAGGTGTGCAAAAGACACAGGGTAAAAAGCTTAGCGTTTGAAGATTTCCACAACTGAATTTAGACTGAGGATGAGGTGGGGCTAAAGGAAGTATCCACCAAAGACTGCGTCACTGGAGAGAACTTGGGAAACTACCTGTTAACTTTGACAATATCACTGGAGACTTCGTAGGATCCAAGGAGTTAGAAAACAGCTTTGACACTGTTGTGCTTACCATGTGGCAAGGTAATACTGGCACCATCTACAATAGCCTGGGCCAGTTCATGATCGTTGCATTCGATGGCATAGGCAGCTGCCTTAAGGGCATCCCAGATTTCTTTGCGACCTTCAAAAGCTGGTGCTGTATCCCAGAATTCATCTCTTTTACTTCTTAGTTGGCCATCCGTCATGGGATAATCACTTTTCCACTTTGGCCTCTCTTTCTTCAGAGGCTCATTTCGGCCTGAAATCAAGAAAAATACTTTGTTAAAAACAAAACCGAGAGATCTGCAGATGCTGTAAATCAGAAACAAAAACAGCAGTTGCTGGAAAAGCTCAGCAGGTCTGGCAGAATCTGTGGAGAGAAATCAGAGTTAATGTTTCAGGTCCTCAAAATACAAAAACCTTGATTCAGCAAAGAAACAGGGACAGATGTAAGATATGAAAACAAGAGCATTTTACTGATGATGCAATGATGTACAGTACAGGTCATTCACATTGATTTTATCAATGAAGTATAATCTCCACGACCATGCATACAATGTGTGCTCCAATCATTTAGCACTAGAGGCATGTATTTTAAGGCATGGCTCTATAGAAAGAGACGTCAAACTGTTCTATGTACTCTGCTGTCCGAGAGACTTACTGCTCAGTGTCACGACCTCAATTCCTAGTTGATTTTGCATAACAGTACGTTATAAAGGATTGGATTATTCTTTTTCATTTTTAAAACCTTGACTTTTAAACATCAGCACAACTGAGTCAAGCCAGTTAGATTTGACAGATTTGAATCATGGCCAATTTTTGTTTATAAAGCGATCGGGCTCAACTAGACCACAGGAGTGAGAAATCAGTTCATGTAACTAAAAAGTGGCTGAATCTGTTAGCTCAAGGGTGACTAACATTTACCAACTGTCCCAACCTTGCCCTTGCTAGGCCTGGAGAGTAAACAGCAGGCGATGTTGCAGCAGCTAGAATATTACTACTCAGTCTTGCAGTCACTGCACAATTTTTGTGGTTTTCTTGACATGTGCTGCTGCTGTTGGGTGTTTGAGCAGGGGATTCCCAATTCCTCTGAAAGAGACAGAGACAATCACAAGTGAACAAACTGGTTTGCATGACATTCTGCAGTGGATTACATGGAAAGCTGGAGAGGACAACTTTTGTAGACGAGGGCATGATGACTTGTGTTCCCAATAGGTTTATTGGGACTAACAGCCAAATGATACCTGTTGCAATCTAACTACTCAACAAATCCTGTTTTCCTCTTGCTCCTGACTTATACTGTCTCCTAGTCAGGCAACGTACTCATTTTAAAATTCTAATCTGAGTTTACATAGCCCTCTATGGCTTTGCTGCCCCATCTCTCAAATATCATCTCTATTCCCACAATACTCCAAGGTACCTGCAGAGGCAGCCTCTTGTGCATCTCCAATTTTAAATCATTGGTGGTGTGATAGTATGTACCTTTAAGAGGGAGTTGTTCTATCCTATTTCTCTTGAAGAGGGGGGTTGTAAATCTGCTGCTAAGGTGTCTGCGTCAAGGGTTTTTCAAAATTAAAGAAAAGCAACATTAGAGGAAGAAACGTGCTGGGAGATTGGGGAGACTTGCAGGAGCAATAGGGCTGTCATAGTCAGGGATTTTAATTTTCCTAACAAACTGGGACTGCCATAGCGTTAAGGGTTTAGATGGGGTGGAATTTGTGAAATGTGTTCAGGAAAGTTTCCTTAAGCAGTATATAGAGGGTCCTACTTGGGAAGGGGCAAAACTCAACCTATTCTTGGGAACTAGGGCAGGACAGGTGACTGAGGTGACAGTGAGGGAGAACTTTGGGACCAGTAACCAATAGTTCTATTAATTTTAAAATAGCTACGGAGAGGGATAAAACAGGTTCAAGTTCGAAACTGAGGCAAGGCAAATTTTGATGGAATTAGACAAGAGCTTTTGAGGTTGATTGGAGTAGTTTGCAGGCAAAGAGACCTCCACTAAGTGGGAGGTCCTTACAAGTGATAGCTAGAGTTCAAAGTCTATATGTTCCTGAGAGTGTGAAGGACACGGTTGGCAGGAGTAGGGAACCCTGGGTGACAAGACAGAGGCTTTGACCAGGAAAAAGGAGGCATGGCTCAGGAACAGGCAGCTGGGATCAAGGCAATCCCTGGAGATATATAAGGGGCACAGGAGTTTACTGAAGGAGGAAATCAGGAGGTGACAAAGGGAGCACAACATAGCTTTGACTGAGAAGATTAGGGTATTCCAAAGAGATTCTTTAGTTATTCTTTTTCCTTGAATAATACTTAGGGAGAGAATAGGACCCCTCAAGGACCAAAGTGGATATGTATGCGTGGAACGACAGGAGAAGACCTGCAAAGAAAAACCTGGGAACTACGGAACAGTAAACCTAACATCTGTGGTAGCTAAGTTACTGGAGAAGATGGAGGGAAAGATATACATGCATTTGGAAAGACAGGGTTTGATTAGGAGTAGTCAGCATGGCTTCATGCAAGGGAGATCATGCCTCACAAATTTGTTAGAGATAGTAAGAACTGCCGATGCTGGAGTCAGAGATAACAGTGTGGAGCTGGAGGAACACAGCAGACCACGCAGCATCAGAGGAGCAGGAAAGTTGACATTTCGGGTCGGGACCCTTCTTATGCTGCCTGGCCTACTGTGTTCCTCCAGCTCCACACTTATCACAAATTTGTTAGATTTCTTTGAAGAGGAGACCAGGAAGGTTGATGAGAGCAGGGCAGTAGACCTAGTCTGCATGGATTTCAGTAAGACCTTGATAAGGTTCCACATGGTAGGCTGCTCTGGCAAGTTAGATCACATGGAACCCAGGGAGAGCTGTCAAACTGGATAGACTGTTGGCTGGAGGGCAGGAAGCAGAGTAATACTGGAAGGATGCTTGTCGGACTGGAGGCCTGTGACTACTGGTGTGCCTCAGGAGTCAGTGCTGGGCCCAGTGCTGTTTGTTATCTACAATGATTTGGATGAAAGAATGTACAAAGCATGACACGAAAATAGGTGGCATCATGGACAGGGAGGAAGGTTATCAGAAATTGCAGCAGGATCTTGATCAGCTGGGGAAGTGGGCCAAGAAATGGCAAATGGAGTTTAATATAGCTAAGTGTGAGGAGTTGCATTTTGGAAAGTCAAATCAAGGTAGGGTGAATGGTTGGGCCTTAAGAAGTGTAGTAGATCAAGGTACCTTGAAGTTTAGGTGTACGGAATAGTGTGTTCAGTTTTGGTCACGTTCCTATAGGAAGAATGTTATTAAACTGGAAATAGTGCAGAAGGGATTTACAAGGATGTTGCCAGAACTCAAGGGACTGAGTTATAGGGAGAGGCTAAACAAGCTAGGACATTTTTCTTTAGAACGTAGGAGACTGAGGGGGGGATCTTACAGAAATGTATAATATCAGAGGCATGGATAGGGTGAATGCTCAGTCCTTTTTTCCAGAGATGGGGAATTGAGGACTAGATGACATCAGTTTAAAGGTAAGAGGGGAAAGAATACATGGAAACTTGAGGGGCAACTTTTTTTTTTAAAAAAAAAACAGAGGGTAGTACACATACAGAGTGAGTGGCAGAAGTGGTTGAGGCAGTTACATGAACATTTAAAAGGCATTTGGACAAATACATGGATAGGAAAGGTTTAGAAGGATATAGGCCAAGTGCAGGGAAATGGGGTTGGGTGGATGGACATTTTGGTTGGCATGGACCAGTATGGGCCGAAGGGCCTGTCTATGACTATGAGTGGCTAGAGCCAGGGTGTCTCATATCCAGGGTTTTAGTTGGGGTTTTGGAGTTGAAGCTGCTAGATTCATTCTGTCAGCATTTCTTCTCCTAGAATGCAGGAGATAGCAAGTGAGAAATCTACTTTGCTGAATTACCTTTGCAAAAAGGTGTGTTTATGGTATGCTACAATATTTGAACAGTTGACGAGTAGTTAAATAATAATTTTATTTTGTTAAGTATTTTGATGGAGTTAAAAGTTATGCCTATTCTTGTTTTGCTTGTATTTTAACTGTGGCGTGAGAATAAAGTGCATTATGCTTAAAGCCTAGCAGTTTGACCAATCAAATCACACCTGGAATACAGCACCTTACACTTGCCTTTAAATAAGATAAGTTAGGGTCTAGGCTATCTCCTTGATACGTTTTGAGGGGATTTGGATAGGTCCGAAACAGTAGCAATGCCTTTAGTTGCTTCGAGTCCAACCTCTAATTCCTTCCATTTCTCTACTTCTCACTCCTCAAACGTTCTTTAAAACCTACGCCTTTGTTCAAACTTTTAGTCATCTGACCTAATATTTCTTGGCATGGTGCCATGTTTGTTTTAAAATGCTCCTGCTAAGTACCATAGGGCATTTAATTAATGTTCTATACAAATAGAAGTTATTCTTAAAGTAACAAAGAATTGCTGACCAAGTGTAGCAGAATTAAAACCCAATGAAAACTCATCAACTTGACATGGGAGTTGTTTTTCACTCCATTATCCTGCTTGGTCTGCTGTATTTCCAGCATTCTCTGTATTTTGCCTTGTATAGGGATTAAAAACTTAATGGATGCAGTTTAAGATCAAAAGAATTGTTAAAAGGATGTTACTTGGAATGGAGATATTCCGTCTCCCAATCTGATCCACATTTGGAGACAGAAACCAACACAAAAACCATATCAAAATAATAGATGCCTCTCAATAACCTAATATTTATTTTGTAACCCAGCCTGCATCCTACCTGCCTTTCTGCAAACATTTTTCCCTTCCTGAACTCAAAAAGTCAAACTTTTCAGGTAGGATAAGTGGTTAGCAATTTTAAATGTGGAAACATGAAAAAAAGGTTATAAAGTAAACTGTGCAAACTCATTCAAAAATTTGCAAAATATTTTGACACTTTTAAAGCAAGCATTTTAAAATAGATTTTAACTCGTTAAGTTTGTATACAAGCTTTATGACGAAACAGTAGTATGCATCAGGAAGATTCAGCCATATCCTGATTCGCACACAAAGAAACAGGACTTGCAAGTTAACAATTTCTCTCAAATTACAGGTAACGACAAAAAATGCTGTGTTCTCCTCCAGAAACTACTTAAACTTATAGGATGTTGCAACGAATTCACAAAATAAAAAGATCTGCAGTAAAAGACAATGAAGACAGGTGAGCCTCGTGCTAGCAGTGGAGGAGGAATACACAGTAGGTTATTACAAACATAGAAAAAGAATGGACTGGAAAATAGTTAGGA